GATAAGCTATACAACCTAGGAAATTCCTCCTTAGTTTGAATGTTCATATGCCACATGTTAGACCATAAATGAATTCTACAACCATCCCCAATCCCTATCTTTATATTACTTACATAAAAATCATGAAGGGAAGAGTTAGACCTCACTACTTGCAATATGTCACTCCAAATTGTAACGCCCTCAAAATAATAACAATAAACCCAACAGATAAGACATGCATTTACATTTAAACTAACCGCATCCCTTTCATTCATTAGAATTCCATTACATAAGTATTACATGTTAACCTCATAACAAAATGCCCTACGGGCTTACAGCTTTCCAAGTTAACACTTGGTTACAACAAAGAGTTCTAACTCGTTTACACATTAAGCCCTTGGCTTGAAATTACATGTAATACATCAAAAGTAAAACGACAAAACTATGCCTCCTCTAGCCTCCCAGCCAAGCATTTAATGTATGTATAATGCATTTATCGATGATAATGTAAAATAGAAAGAACTATCGAACAATTAAGAATCTCCAAATAAATATTTATATCATGCACCATCAATTGTCTACAAGTTTCCAGAAAATCAATCCATTTCTACCAAAATCAAGCCTCCCAAAAAGAAGCAAATGATGAATAGATGAAGATATAGAGCAAACTAATTCTGGTGTGTTGTGGTTGTGGGTCATATGTTGCATCTCATTCACATATTTTAAATTATGGAAACTTTTTTTTTGTATTGACCTTGTAAAATTTGATTCATTTTCTCATTGAGCAATATCAGATTGATTTTATTTGTGTTTTTTTTATTTTTTTTAATCAAAGGCAGCTTGCTAGTGATGGGTTAAGTGAGATCCTATAGTCTCACTTATATCTTTATTAAATTCAATACTTTTTTTTGAGGTCTTACTTGTGAAAAAGTTTTGGGAAGTGATGTATTCATAATGAGGTGAAGCTTTGCTGTGAATTTTGGGAAGTGTTGTATCTTATTTATGTTAAAAAAAAGTAGTTGCTTATGTTCTACTAGTTGTTGCTTATATGTAAAATGATTCTCCCTGCAATATGCTTCATGGCATACAACAGACCAGAAAAATTGATGATATGGTGAGAAATTAAATATTTATGCGAATACTGACATTTAATTTCTCTTATTTTTTGTGGATATTTGCTAAGCTTCTAATTTTAATAAAATTTGTTTCATTTATAGATCCATTCCTATATCTGTAGACACCCCATTTTTGACCGTCCTCAAGACCACATCTTCCTTACTTGGGGGTAGTGAATCAGCACATGAGATCTTGTTTCCACCTCAGATTTGCAAAAAGGGCACATGCTATCTTCACTACATCTAATGACCCTAATGTTGGGTAAGAAACCTGTTGTTTTGACCCTACCTTTCCAAGCTAACCAACCAAAGAATTGTGCTTTTAGTGGAGCTGCATTTTGCCACATCCACTTGGCTACTTTTAGCCTAGGTCCACATTTGGCTTCACACAAATTCCTGACTGATGCAATAGAAAAAAGACCTGAAGAAGCAGCCTCCCAAGACAAGTTATCAAGGCTATTTAAACTAAGATCTGGTGCTTTTGATAGCCAGCCTTGTAATCTAGCAACCTCCTCCTCTTCCCAAGCTAGAAGAGTCCTTCTAAAATTAAACACCCAACCTCTAGATCTCTGTCTTCTTCGAACAAAATCCTTCAAGGTTCTTTATCCACAGATAAGCTATACAACCTAGGAAATTCCTCCTTAGTTTGAATGTTCATATGCCACATGTCAGACCATAAATGAATTCTACAACCATCCCCAATCCCTATCTTTATATTACTTACATAAAAATCATGAAGGGAAGAGTTAGACCTCACTACTTGCAATATGTCACTCCAAATCCTAGATACCTTCCTATCTTCTTCAAAATTCCAATCAGGTAACCATCTTCCCCCTTGTGATCCATACTTGCTAATTAACACTTGTTTTGACAAAGCTTTGTCATCCACCCCATACCTCCACCACCATTTCAATAACAAAACCTCATTCACCTCCTTAATTCTCCTAATGCCTAACCCTCCTTGCTCTTTTGACATTGACACATCCCCCTATTTAACCATATGCACCTTTCTCTTTAGATTTGACTCTCTCCCCCCCCTCCCCCGGCGGAAAGAAAAGAAGCTTGCAACCTATCGATCACCTTGGCCACTCCTTTTGGAATTAAATATAAAGACAGATAATAACATGGTAAATTTGACAATACCGACCATATCAAAGTCAACCTACCAGGAAAAGACAAAAAAAAAATTTCCATGATGCCAACTTGAACCTAATCTTATCAATCACTGGATTCCACATCTCTTGCTTTTTGGGCTAGCACCAAGAGGAAAACCTAAATACTTTAGAGGTAGCTTTTGACTTGTACAATTTAGAATAGAGGCAAACTCCTAGATCTTCTTATCATACATTCCCACACCACACACTACACTCTTGTGAAAATTAATCTTAAGCCCTGATATCACTTCGAAACATCTAAGCATCCTTTTAATAACTATAATTTCCTCCACCACAACTTCACAAAAGATTGTAGTATTGTTTGCAAACTGAAGATGAGAAAGCTTCAACTCAGATGGCCTAATAGAAGCACCCTTTAACTGGTCTATCTCCTTCACCCTTTCTAATAGAATGTTGAGCCCTTCAGCTGCTATGTTGAAAAGAAAAGGTGACAGGGGATCACCTTACCTAATCCCTTTTTGAGGAGAAAACGCATATGTTGGAGACCCATTCACTAATACTGAAACTCTTGCCTTGGTTACACAAGAAACCATCCATTTCTTCCATTTATCACCTAACCCAATGTTGGACATCATATAATACAGATAGTTCCAGTTCACAGAGTCATAGGCCTTCTCAAAGTCAACTTTCAAAACAACTCCCTTCTTTTTTGTATTCTTCCACCAATCAACCACCTCATTTGCTATCATCATCCAATAAAAAATATTTCTATCTCCCAGAGATGCTGATTGTACCTTACCAATAACATCTGGTAATACCTTTCTAATTCTTCTTGAGATCAATTTAGCCAATATTTTATAAGCAGAACTAACCAAACTAATCTACCCATAATAACTCAAACCATTGGGACTATCTTTTTAGGAATCAAAGTTATAAATGAACGATTCAAGCCTTCACAATCTTCCCATTAGAATGAAATTCCTTCACAAGTTCAATCAACCCACCCTTCATGAACTTCCAGCACTGTTGAATGCATGACAAATTAAACCCATCTAGCCCAGGTGCTTTGTTTCCATCGCTATCCATAACTGCTTCCCAAACTTCCATATCAAAGAACTAAGCTTCAAGTATCTCCATAACCTTTGATCTACTCACTATTGGAATAGAACCAACTAACTTCGGCCTTGATGCCTAGTCTTCTTTGAACAACATAGAAAAGTGCCTTAACATTTCTTGTTTCACTTGATTAGGCCCCTTAACTCTAACCCCATCAACCTCTAGTGAATCCACCAGATTTTTGGTGAATCTTTTGTTGGCCATTAGATGGGGAAAAAAAACCTTGTGTTTTTATCCCCATTTACTGTCCATTACAATCTTGACTTCTGTAACCATACCCACTCATTTTTCTTCCTCAAATTCCAAACCAAACTTCTAACCTCCCTTCTCATTGACACCTCTTGTGGTAGTAATTCTCTTCATTCAGGTCTCAAATCAAAATCACGTAATTCATCCTATGTCATCTTAAGCTGGTGATCCACATTTCCAAATCCTGATTTCATCTTTTTAGATCACTCTTTGAAGAGTTCAGTTTGTTGACAAATCTATACCTAACCCAACCATCAATCTTTGAGTCTGCCTAAGATTTCTACATTGTTTTAACGAAATTAGGATATAGGGTCCAAGCATTCAAGAATCTAAGTGGTCTAGGACCCCAATTCCTACCATCCTTCCTAAGTAATATAAGGTAATGAATTGATACATCCCTAGGTAAACCCCACAATTGAAACTTAAACTTCTCCAACCACCTTGGATCAATTAAGAATCTGTCAATCCTACTCCACCTCCCCATCAAGTGAATTGCACCTTGTAAAGCTTCTCCCTACCATTGGTAAATCATCCAATTCCATTTTTTCAATGAAGTTACCAGACTCTCTCATCCCTTTATCCCTTCTAGATACTCCCTTTCCCTCAGATAAATACCTGATTTCATTAAAATTCCCTCCAGCACACCAAGGTTTTTGGAAATCATTTTTAATCCTTACAAGTGTATCCCAGAACTTACCTCTACTATCAACATCATTGGGTGCGTAAATATTTGAAGTCACACACTCAAAAAGATCAGAAGTCATACCTAAGAGCACTATGAAATGCTTGCTGCAGCAACACTCTGACATCATAAAAACTTCAGGGTTCCAAACACACAATAAGCCTCCAACACTCCCCATATATAGTGAATATATATATATATATATATATCATATTCACTAACACATTCTAGGATCTCTTTCTATGCAAGTATCTTTTTTATGGCTAAATTTGTCGCCGATCTCCATGTTGAGTCTCAGCTAACATGGACTGACAATATTTCTCCCTGGCCTGGCTTGTTTACCCAGCCTGATTATAAAACCTATTCATCCATGTTTCTTTCAAAAGAATTATGATTATGAAATCCCAACAAAATAGCTTGTGTATTTGCAGATAAATAAATAAATAAATACCCTGCAAGTGTATATCCCACATAATTAGCATACCTAGCATCTAAAATCATATAAATTCTATCTCATCAACAAGTCCAAGAACCAAGATAGAGTAATATGACATTACATTTAGGTATATTACTACCACACACACACACACACACACATGTGTATATATATATATATCATTTCTTATACAACTATAGGTAGCTGAATAGTTTTGCAATAAACACACTAATGTAGTAGTATATGACAACGTAGACACAAATGACAGGAATTAGAAATCATCTAAAAAATTATTTTTATTTTTTAACTTATTGGAAGAAACAATAAGTTTGCCATTGACTGTAGGAGGGTAATCCAGCATACTCCAATCTCAACAACTTGAACTCGATCATATCTAACTGCACACAAAATATTGATGGAGTTAAAGTAAAACAAAATATACAATTCCTTAGAAAAAATTGTTGGAAGATGCATGGAGATTTTATAATTACAAAAAGCATTTTGAATTTAATCATTTAAGAAAACAAAATTCAAAATTTTTGATATGGACTTTTAGATTTTTCATTTGAGAAGCGATTTGTGAAAGAGACTAATGAATAAAATAAAAATTCAAATAATTTCTCTTATTGAATTAATATGTACAGGTACCTTTTGATGAGTTTTCCTTTTCAAAAAATTTTTAGTAAAGGGACTCAAATCTTAACATTATGTTTGGATTTTGAATTTTGTTGTGAGGTATCTATTATTTTTGACTACATGTTCAGATTTATTGTCAAGAGTTTTTTTATGAAAGGAAAGAACTAGAACGTATCATGTCTGTCTTATATTATGTGTTTTGTTTTGTTTTCTTACTACTACTACTACTACTACTACTACTACTACTACTACTACTTCTTCTTCTTCTTCTTCTTCTTCTTTATTATTTTTTTATTTTTTAATGATTGGAATGATTAAATTTCTACATAGCATATTTGTCAAGACAAAAAAAAAAATAGATTAAATAAATTTAGTTTATTTTAATTCATTTTCTTCTTTTTTTTTCATTTTCTTTTTATTTGAATTCACAATCCCTCCACAAATTCATGATTTTTTAACATAGCTTACACTAAGAGAGTTAAACCTGAACTCAAGTTGCACCAAGGTAGCAGAGAGTGTCCTAATAGGAAACTGGTTTGTTGCCTACCAATGATTCTACCAATTACTTGTCTAGACATATATAAATATACATTAAAAAGTTGTTAGTGTTAGGAATTTAGCAATATTATAATAGGGTATTTGATACAGATTATTTGAGTTATTTGCAATATACATATTTTTATTTTAAAAATGTGATAGATTATTTAGTGAACCTTTTATTTATATATATTACAAAACCAAAATAATTTAAATAAACTAAAAGCGAAAGAAGACTATTTAGGAGATGGAAGAGGGAGTGCTTTTTTATTTTTTATTTTTTTTGTTATCAACATTTAGCTTACCAGTTACACCAAACATACAGAATAAAAGGAGCTTCTACAAAACTCCTATTTTGGAGTGCACCACATGCAAGTTAAGTTATTTTTTGTGATTTTAATACAACTTTCAGTCATAAGCAGAAGGACCACAATAAATCATAATTAAATATCACTTTAGATATAACCAATAAATTCTCCGGTTAAACCAAAATAACAATTACAGTAAGTCATAATTAAATTATAGCCAACATTACAACGAGTTATAACCAACACCAAAACACATCATAATCTAATATCACTTGAGGTATTATCAAAAATTTCTTCAGTTATAACCAAAATAACATCTATAATTAATTATAATTAAATAAGTCATAACTAATGACTACAAAAAGTCAGGCATATAATACATCATTTGTTAAAGTGTTATATAGAATTCCCTTATAAATATTATGAAATATGTATATATATATAATATTCGGAAATTCTATGCTTTGGTTTACACTTTTGTATCTTTGATTATGACATGTTATCTTGTTAGTTATGACACATTGTGATATTGGTTATGAAATTATTTCGGTGAAGATTTAAGAGTTGTTTGGTTATACCTAATGTGATGTTTGGTTATAACTCAAAAGTTTTTATTTATTTATTTTTTATATATATATGATTCCCATAGTATTGAGTTATGTCATTTGTGATAATCAAACTCACAAATAACATAACTTGTATATGGTAGCATTACCCTATATATATATATATATATTGGGAAAATTAAGACAATAGTCCCTGTACTTTACCTCTTGCGTCATTTTAGTCTTTGTATTTTCATTTGGCTCGATTTTGACCCTAAATTTATGATTTTATCTCAATTTGATTCAATTACAACTCTTAGCATTTTTTAATGAAAAATACACATATAAGTATCATGTGCCATATTCTTAAGGGTAAAATTATAAACTTACTCAACTCATTTAATTAATCTCAATCAATTTAGTGATTTTCCTTATAAAAAAAAAAAAAAACTAACAATATTATTAATTGGACCAAATTAAAATAAAATTTAAAATTAGGAGTTAAAATTGAGGTAATTGAAAGCGTATAGACCAAAATGACACAAGTAAAATATAGGGATCACCATCATAATTTTATTTTATTTTTTTTTAAATAAAGGAGGATATCAACTTATTACATTCAGCTTATAAAATCATAACTAGACATATGATACACTTTTTTTTTAACGTGTTTATTATAAAATTTTCTTATAAATATTATGAAATGTATACATATATATATATATATATATTTATAATAAAGGATGATCAACTTACTTTACCCATCTAAGCCGATAAAGGTTAGAGAAGTCTTCTTCTTCGATGTCAAAATCACTTTCATCCACGGTTGCGCATTCCTAAAAGAAAAGAAAGTAAAATACATATGAACAAAAAATACATATGAAGCACTCCAGTTTAGTAGTCTCTTGTAAATGTTCAAAGATAAAAGAGTTCATCAACTGACAAAAATAATTAACCGTAAATCAAGTTGAAAAAGAAAGTCTACCTCTCCTTTCAGAAGTCGTTCCTCTAAATACTTATTGAGATCTTCTGTCCAAAGGCCTTCATTGCCACGTGTACTTACAAATATCTGTGACATGCGTACTTGTCCCAAAGTAAAGTTGTGCATATCCGGACACCTCTTCAGAACAACTCTGTTTAATGATGGCAAATTAAAATTATAGTTTGCATTACAAAAACTGTTGAGGTTTGGTAGATCTTTCAGTATTAGCCACTCCAACTTTGGGAATTCAATCACATCAATCACTTCCTTGAGCCCATCCTCTGTTGCTACAATAACTTCTTCCATCACTGGACAAGACTCCAAATAAAGTACTTTAAGTTGTTGAAGAGCCATGGCGGTGGAACATGTGAATAGATTTCTCAAGAGGGAACATTTCTTAATTGTTAGGTATTGTAGGCTTTGAAGGCCCAGAATTCCATGGGGATCCTTGTTCCACAAACATGTCAATTGAGGTAATCCATCCAATTCCATCATTCTTACTTCAATTAATGGCCTAACATGTTGTCCTTCTCCAACATTTAGCCCCTCAAGTTGAAAAACCTCTGCCACCTCACTACAATTTCTCACAATTAACTTGTCCAGATTCGCTACGTCCAAGAATTTTAAACTTATTTTGCTAGCCTGAAGATTCCAAGGATGTATCTCTCTTGAGTTTACACAATTATCGAGAACTAGTGTCTTCAACTTTGGGAAAGAAACCTGCAAAGATTCATTTAGTCATCTTGTTTTATAACAGAATGAAATAGGCTTGTATATTGGAATTCAACGTCAGTAATGATTGATGAGACATGTTTCTCATATTGATGAGCCAAAATTTTATTATATGTGTGGATTATGAATTTCAGTAAAGATTTAAAAAAAAAATTGTAAAAGCAATGTCAACAAAATATAAATTTTTTTTTTTTTTATTTCCCATTGTCTTTCCAAATTTCTATCCAAATTTATGATCAAAATGTTCAAAATAAATAAATATATATATATATATATATAGATTTGTATATTAAAAATGATAAATCATGTAAATAATGATTAGCAAGTGACACACGCAATGCGTGTGCAATTCAGATAAGTAAGAATAAAAATAAATAATAAAAAAATTAATATCATAATATTTATGTTGCCTAAGTGGTAAGATTGTTTTTAATGAAACTTAAAGTCTTGGGATCAAACCTGGATCATGCTTTTGAATTACAATTTTTTTTTTTTAATTTTAGGCTAGATAAAGCTACCACAGCATGACGTGAAGGCTTGACTAAACAAGACAAAAAATAAGATACACATATCTCATAAAAGGTAGGTCTCACGTATATTTGGAGGTGTAAATCCTTATTATTTTTAATTATTTTAAATTTTCTAACATAATATATGATATTTTCTAAATTTTTGGGAGTGTGATCGCCTCCCTCTACACCCCCTAGATCCATCCTTGGGGATCTCACCCTTTGTAAGATATCTATATTTCATTATGTGTTTAATTTTTTGAGTATTATTGCTTTATTCCATTTATAGATTAAACTTAACCTTTTGTCTCCTAAAACATTGTGTGGGAGCCGAGTTTTGACGATTGCAGAAAGGCCATGTACATACTTGGAAGCTTATTATGTAAACATCTCATTCGCCCCATCTTGCATCACTTGGAAGCCGAACATCCTAGTCGGTCGCAGAACTAGTTAAGCAAGGAGCCGAGTGGGAATTGATTCATGATGGAAGAAGCCAAGTGAACATTCACAGGGTGGATTGAAAGTGGGCCAGACCCTGAGGCCCACAGAACAAGTATATATAAAGGAAGGACAGCCAAAATAGAGGTATGAGTGAAAAAATCCAAGAAACTTAAAACTTAAGCAAATGTGAGATATATACTGACTTATCCGTCGGAGTGCTAATTCTGGCACCACCGACCAAAGTGTTCATTCCTTTTCAGGTGATTGGCTGAGGATCTCGAGTGTCACATTGGATTCAAAGAGTATTTCCAAACCACATCACCAAAATTGGCGCCATCTGTGGGAATTACTCCAGCACATCCATGGCGGGCGTGAAGGAAGATCCTCCGGCAGTCGCTGACGACCTTACACCACAAGTTGATACCACTCCAAGCAACCTGCTTGGACCAGAAAACGTTAACTCACGAAGAGCTTTGAACTTCGACTCAGCTGCCCCGACCTCACCCTCGACATCAGCACGTGAGACAATGAAAGCAATTATGGATCAAGCGAAGCAAAACGAACAGAGGTTGGAGAACATGATGGCGGAGAATGAGCGCCTTCGACAAGATTTAGCCCTAGAGATGGCAAAATCCCAATAGGTTGTGCGCCAAGATCCGGAACGACCTCTGAGAAAGAATCGTTGACGACCTCGACTTCGAAGCCAAGACAGTAGCACTGATTCTGACTCGTCATCCCTAGAATCCAAAAAGAAATGACGGGTCGTGGTCTCCAGTTCTTCCGAGGGGAGTCCGTGTCCAAGGACTAAACGAAGAAGAAATGATTCAGACGAAGAGGATCAACATGACCCTTTGTGCGACAGATCGTAAGGGCGGTACTACCCAAAAAGTTCAAAGCTCCATCGTTCACCCTGTATGATGGCAAATCAGACCCCACCGATCATATCCGTCATTACAAGCAAGCCACGACACTGCATGCAGACGACGAGGCCCTCATGTGTAGAATATTTCCCAGCAGTTTGGGACCATTGGTCGTCAGATGATATTATAAATTGGAGCCGGCATCCATTAAGAGCTTCCACCAGCTCCAAAAATCCTTCAAAGCAAGGTTCATCACCAATGAGGTCCAGCCGAAGCAGGCCAATTCTCTCTGGGCAATGCAAATTCAATCAGGGGAGACCCTACGTGCTTATTCGGCGCGCTATTGGGAATGCTTTAATCTCGTAGATAATCCATGCAACAACTCCATGGCCATCACCGCCTTTAAAATGGGGTTACACCCTGATAGTGCCCTCCGTAGCTCCTTGACCAGAAGGCCCCCAAAAATAGTCTGGTCGCTAATGAAGAAAGTAAAGGAATATTGCAAAGTGGAGGATGACGCCCTGCGGGTTAAAGCCGGGCACAAGGCAATCAAGACGGCCCCATCTGAGATCGTTCAGCCGATAAGTTCTGTACCCTCGTAGAGCCCTGAATGACGGAGTCGGTCTAAACGTGACAGAAGACAAGATTCACGCCGATCAAACGAACAATGTCCGCCACGGGCTAGTGAATAACTTCAAGTGGATAGCAGATGCACCAGGCGCGCAGAGAAGAAATATACGGAGTTATTGGAGCCGATTAGCACGGTTATGTCTAAAATTCAACATATTTCGTTCTGCAAATGGCCATCCAAGATGGTCGGACCACCTGACACGAGGAGACGGGATTAACGGTGTGAATATCATGAAGACCACGGACATGATACCGACAGGTGCTATGCCTTGAAAGATCATCTTGAGGAGTTGGTACAAGACGGTCGGCTTAAGCAACATGTCCGGAAGAACAGTTCCACCAAGACAATTGCTTTACGACAAGAATCACCTCCACTCGGCGTAATCCATATGGTTTACACCCTGCCAACTGCTTCCGCGGTGCGTACAATTTAGTCGCATCCCGACCGCCAGAGGCAAATCACACCAGCGAAACGGCCCCATGAAACACCGAGTATTTCTTTTGATGATGCTGATTTGGTCGGCATAACGCTTCTGCACATTGATCCCTTGGTCATCGAACTACACGTAAACCGATTCACCATTGAACGTGTTCTCATTGATCAGGGGAGTACTTCAAAAGTTATGTACTACAAGACTTTCATCAAACTCGGCTTCACTGAATCAGACCTGTCCCCGGCTCATTACCCGTTGGGCAAAATCACATTACCAGTTCGGGCGGGCTCCCGATTAGTGGATGTTGAATTTTTGGTTGTCAAGCTTCCCTCGCCGTATAATCTCATCATGGGACGAACCTGGCTGCACATCAGGCAAGCTATTCCAAGCACCTACCACCAACTACTTCGCTTCCCTACTGAACACGGCATTGAACAAATTCGTGGTTCCCAAAAATCAGCACAAGCGTGTTATCTTCTTGCCGCAAAAACACCAAGAGAGCTAGAAGTGAATTCTATTGAGGTACCGGATCGGGAGAGCCTCGGCAATGTTGGGCGGCTCCCAAGTGAAAAGGCAACGGAAGCCTTGGACCGAGTTGAAATTGATGGGAACCCTAACAGGTTCTTCATGGTCGGCGCCTCCCTAAATAAAGCTGACAGGCAACAGCTGATTTCCTTCTTACTCGTCAACTTGGATGTATTTGCATGGTCGCCGTATGAGATGCCGGGGGTGGATCCGTTCGTCTCTCAGTACCGTTTAAATGTTGACCCCAAATGTAAGCCGATTATTCAAAAAAGTCGGCGGTTAGCTGCAGAGCATGCTGCTGCTGTTGTTGAAGAAGTTGACCGGTTGCTTGATGCCGGAGCAATCTGGGAAGTGACCTATCCTACATGGCTGTCAAATACAATGGTGGTAAAGAAGAAAAATGAGACTTGGCGCGTTTGTGTGGATTTCACGAATTTAAATGAAGCTTGCCCCAAGGACTGCTTTCCCCTCCCCAGAATAGACCAACTTGTGGATGCCACGGCACACCATCAACGTATGAGCTTCCCGGATGCCTACAGGGGTTACCATCAAATTGCCATGCATCTGGAGGATCAAGAAAAGACTGCATTCCTCACCCCAAGAGGAACCTACTGCTATAAGGTTAGGCCTTTCGGGCTGAAGAATGCAGGGGCAACTTACCAAAGATTGGTCGCTGCCATGTTCAAAGAGCAACTCAGCCATACTATGGAGGTGTACATTGACGATATGGTGGTCAAGTCCAAAGAAAAAAAAACTCATCTAGCCGACCCGGAAGAGACATTTGGTATTCTGCGCAAGTACAAAATAAAGCTAAACGCCTCTAAGTGTGCACTTGGGATCGGATCTGGTAAATTCCTTGGCTACATTGTTAACCACTGCGGAATCGAAGCCAACCCGAGGCAAATCACAGCAATTCTAGAACTCGGCTCTCCTCGGTCGATCAAGGAGGTTCAAAAGCTGATGGGGATGGCTACCGCACTCAACAGGTTCATCAGTCGATCCACAGATCGCTGCCGACAATTCTTTCATACCCTTTGGCAGACCAAAGCTTTCGAATGGACCTCCAAGTGCGAAGCCGCTTTGAGCGGTTTGAAGACTTATCTCCGATTAGTTCCACTTTGGACAACACTTCGGCAGGTGATCCTCTCATTTTATATCTAGCAGTTTTCGATCGGGCCGTCAACGCCGTACTATTAAAGGAAGAACTTGGGGAGCAACGGCCAGTGTATTATGTAAGCAAAGCAATGGTTAACGTCGAAACACGTTACCTTCCATTGGAAAAACTCATCCTTGCTCTCGTCATGGCAGCAAGAAAACTGATGCATTACTTTCAGGGGCATACCATTGGGGTATTAACGGATTACCCCATTCGGTCAGTACCTCGAAGTGCTGAGGCGTCAGGGCGCATTTCGAAGTGTGCTCTCGAACTCGGCCAGTACGATATTCAATTTCTGCCGAGGACCTCAATCAAGGGACAAGTGCTTGCCGACTTTGTTGCCGAATTCACTGGAAGCCTTGCCAAATTTCAGTCTGATCAAATTCAACCTAAGCCGAATTGGAGGTTATACGTCGGGGACTTGTGGCAACTG